AATATAAAAAAGACATCAGCCCCTGGTGAAGATGGCTTGATATATACCGTGTTTCAAAACCTTCCAACCAGGGCTAGGAAAACATTACTCTGTCTTTATAACAAAATATGGTCTTCTGGGACGATTCCGGAACAATGCAAACACGCAATGTTGATACCCATATTAAAACCAAACAAGGACTCCTCCCAACTAACATCCTACCGACCTATCTCATTATTACCTTGCTTTATCAAGATATTTGAAAGTATGGTAAAGGAAAGATTAGAATGGTTCATAGAGAAAAACGAAATTTTGAGTAGTATACAACATGGTTTTAGAAAAAAGAGAAGCTCAGTAGATAACTTAGTACATTTAGAAAATGAAATTTAGAAATATCTATTTGTGGGTATGAAAACCATAGTCGTATTTATTGATCTGGCCGAAGCCTATGATACTCTCTGGACGAAAGGATTAATCGTCAAGTTACATAGAATTGGTCTCCAAGGAAACATATTGACTTTTTTGAGAAACTACTTGTTGAACCGTACCTTTCAAGTGCAAATAGGTAATGCCAAATCGGCAATTAAGCATCCTGAAAACGGTTTACCCCAGGGTAGCATTTTGAGCTCCCTCCTTTTTAATATAATGATAAGTGACATACCTTTGAGACCAGATATACATAGCTTGATTTATGCAGACGACATCGTAATTTGGGAATCAGGCCATGATGTAAAACAAAATATCCAGAACATACAACAATATCTAAACTCTTTGAACTCATGGCTCAATCCATTTTGACTTATTATGTCGGTAGAGAAAACGACCCCTATCTTATTTTCGAACAGTACAAATGATGATAACTACGAGTTATATATAAGAGGTCAAAAGTTGACACCACATAAAGAGCACAAGTATCTCGGCGTCACATTTGACAAACGGATGACTTGGAGGCCTCATCTATCAGATATTAGTAAAAGATGTAAAGGTAGAATTAATGTTATCAAAAGTCTAGCATACGCCAAGTGGTCTGGAGATGCTAAAGAACTAGTGATGATATATAAAGCATTAATACTATCAATTATCAACTATGGTTGCGAAGCATACAACTCGGCTACCACAAGCGCAAAAAATATGTTGGACTCAGTTCAGTACCAATCGTTATTTGTTTGTGCAGGCGCTCGGAAAGGTACATCCCTTAAAACGCTGCAAGTCGAACTAGGCGAAATGCCTTTTGATTTATGGCGAGAGATGTTATCAATTAGACTAAGAAAAAGAATCGAGAGTATGCGCAAACACCGTTTGAAGGAAGATGTGAAAGATTGTTGGCAATTTAATATTCTTGGAGGTACTAACTCTACATTAGCCTTTGGACGTAGAACCAAGGATTGTACATTAAAATTCAGTTACATACTAGAAGATCCAATGAAGTATTTTTTCAACACACCTTTTCGGAAAATGCTCTCTCCCCGTGTGTCATCTGAGCGAAAAGAGGTAATAACGAAAACAGATATCTGTTTTGCCCAAAAACAAGCAGCCCTAGAATTGATAAATTCGAAATGGAAAAATTATTTACACATATATACAGATGGATTAAGATCGCTAGATAAAGACTCTGCTGCTGCTGCATTTTATGTACCTTATTATGATGTTTCTCAATCTAAGAGACTGGCTAAATACACATCTTCTTATAGAGCAGAGATGGCCGCAATTGTACTTGCCCTAACATGGTTATTACAACTCCCAGGACTCTACACCGGGGCAGTCATCTTTTCTGATTCTTTGAGTTTACTCCAGGCCATAGAATCTCGTAAAGACGAATCTTTCATTCTTGAAATTTTAACCATGTGTAGTCAACTAAAATACAAGGGCACCCAGGTCAATTTCGAATGGATTCCCAGTCACTGTGGTCTACAACACAATGAGATAACAGATAAGTTTGCTAAAGCAGGACTAAATAAAAATATAGAAATCAACAACGCTATTACTAGAGCAGAATCAAATTATGTTATAAAGAAATACTACATAGAGATATGGCAAAAAAGATGGAATGAAACATCATCCCCATTACGGGAAACGCAAACTATAGTATCAAAAATATTTGTATGTTACTTGAACAACAGATACCATGAAACAATTCTTCATCGCCTAAGAATGGGGAACTTAGGTTAAAATGGTGATCTATTTGAGTTAAATCAACATGAGACCGGTCATTGCTCAAACTGTGAGCACGAAAAAGAAACTGTTATAACATTTTTTATGCAAATGCCCACTCTTTCTTATACATGTAGAAAGAGCTGTTCTTTCTTATAGAAAGAGCCATGCTTATAACAGAATCTGGCATAGAGAACGAACAAATAATCCCAATGCTCCTGAAATCAACAGACATTAATCACCAACAGGCTCTGGTCAACTTCGTAATTAGAACTAAAAGGGTACATCTGTACCCCTACTAACCACCTTGCACCGCACATAATTATTTGAGTCCAATATGTTTCGCTTTTTATAGTGAGTAATACATGAAGAAGAAGAGTGAGAAAGAAAAAAAAAAAAAAAAAAAAAAATTTGAAGAGAGAACTGCCTATAATAACATTTAGAATCTTCATGTATATAGGAATTGCCTCCTACAAGCTTTTACAAGCTCTTACAAGCTCTTACCACAAGAGGGCGCCATTGGTCTTCTTGCACTGGGACGCCAGATTAAGAACTGCTATACTGACTGGTACAACCACTTGAGACATACTCTGAGTAACTATACCGGTAAGTGCTGTTCTTTGTCTCTTTGTAGCATCTAAGCAACTAAGTAGCCTATGATCCGTAGGTCAGGGCTACTATATATATATATATATATATATATATAATCTGTTTTTTATTGGTTTTCGGACAAAATTTTGAAGAAACGCGGTGGAGACGACTAGCCTAGACTAGCCTTAAGGGCTCTCTCGAAATGTTTTTTTAATGATATTATTCGAGAGAGCCTTAAACGGCTCCCATACCCCTGCACGGAGAGGCATGTAAACAAAACTCAAAAGTGGTCCAAAATCACACTTTCGCGCACCCGACCAATATTGGACAGTGGCTTTGATAAATTTTGTCCGAGTTTTGGTCTTAATTAGCGCTTTAATTTCAAAATCGGATCTAAAAATAACAAAATAAGAGCAATTTTCTTACCAGACCGATACAGCTCAGCTCCCTTTTCACGTGTACCGTGTGAATTCACGATGTCTACACAATGGTGATGACCTCTGACTAGCACTTCGTAAATGTGCTGCTTCCGTATAATGCGCTGAATAACACTCATACAGCGCATTATACGGAAGCAGCACAATTTACCCACAATTACGGAAGTGCCAGTCAGAGGTCATCACCATTGTGTAGACATCGTGAATTCACACGGTACACGTGAAAAGGGAGCTGAGCTGTATCGGTCTGGTAAGAAAATTGCTCTTATTTTGTTATTTTTAGATCCGATTTTGAAATTAAAGCGCTAATTAAGACCAAAACTCGGACAAAATTTATCAAAGCCACTGTCCAATATTGGTCGGGTGCGCGAAAGTGTGATTTTGGACCACTTTTGAGTTTTGTTTACATGCCTCTCCGTGCAGGGGTATGGGAGCCGTTTAAGGCTCTCTCGAATAATATCATTAAAAAAACATTTCGAGAGAGCCCTTAAGGCTAGCCTAGACCTCTAGGCCAAAAGCCTAGCCTAGCTGGGTCAAAATCGAAATCCATGTTAAAATACGTCTTGCAAGATTTTTAACAAAGATTTCGATTTTGACCCATAATTTCCTAAAGAGGGACCATTAAACTGATTATTTCAGTCAAGTTAGTAGTAAGTGGAACCGATTTATTATAGAGTAAAGTACCCGGTTTTCGGCCACTTAAGACAAAATCCTATTTATTGGACTCTTTACTTCCTATTTATTATCATTTCTTGTTCAAATCATGAAGCAAATATTATTATTATTTAAACAAAAAAAGAATCCCCAAAAAAAATCACGAATTGCCATGACAATATTCATTTCAATTTTCACTGTTTTGGAGCCGGTTATCGGCCGAGCGTTTCAGTTTACGGCCGCATGTACAAAGTCAATAGGAAGCGCTCGCGCGCGCCGTGCGTTTCTGCGCTGATGTATAGCACAAGCGGGCGGAGCAGGTATCCCACGCCGGAGCTCCCGGGTGCTCGCCTGGCCGAATACAGGCACAGCGGTGATCGGAAGTTGGAATCTGAATTAGACAGACATATCGTGTGTGCGTCGCGGTGTGCGGCTGCATTGATTTAATACATGCGATGAGATACTTTTGAGCTTGCGACCAGCACAAAATCGGGCTCTATATCTGAAAAATACTTGAAATAAAGCTCATTTTATGGTACCCATATTTCTTACATACACGCGTAAGAAACTCGATTTTTCAGATTTGGGCAGCGGGACCGCCGATTACATCGCTAAAATGTGATATTTTAGGATATATTTTTCATTGCAAATGTGGTTCTTCAGTGACACTGGCATGGTATGGTATGTGTGGGATATGTGTTATGCTATTATGCGATGTATTTTAAAGTGATTTTACCATGTATCCAACCAATTGGCCGAAAACCGGAGCTGACCGATTACCGGGTACTTTACTCTAGCCTAGACTCTAGGCCTAATTTACAATCTAACATGTACATGATGTACGAGGTAAAATGACATTTGGGGGATTTTCGGGGCATAAAAATATGGCCATAAATGGCCATGGTGTTAGCAAGGGAATGCGTATAGTCGGCTTCCGTCTCTAAAGAGAGAGCCGACCCTACCTACCCCAATAACAGGCTAACGAACGAAAGAGACGGGAAATTCGGTCTACGAAGCCCCCTACCGCCAAGCCGGTAGGTGGGCCTACACGGAACTGCTGGTAACACGAGCACTCACACACGTATACAGCCAATCCACGTATCAAAAAATGAGTGAAGGAAAAGCCCGACAAAATCGGTCCAAAGGAGAAAAACAATGATTAGAAGTCAAAAGCAAAGGATTTCCTACCTTACAGTCCACGAGAATCCCACCTCTCCAAACTCCTAAAGCAGTGTAAATACTTGAAGTTGAAGAAGAAGTTTACGATTTTGCAGGAGCAAAAGTTTTTTTTGTCGTTGTTGAGTGTTTGTGACAGTCGAGGCAAAAAATAGATCGTAACTTCTCACCCAGCTGTTTCCGAGAAATCCCGAACTCTCGCACGTGTCTAGAAATGGAAACTGCCCACAACACGTGAGCGAACGTACTCCGGAAAATCTGGGTGAGCGAAATTCCGCCGCCCTGATTGGTCTATCCCCTCCAGTGAACGTGTGCGTGCGAATCTTGAATACCGTTCTCCTCAAGACTCACGCTCGAAGGGATATGAATGGAAAAACGTAACCCAGCTGGGGATACAACCATCCCCCTCGGTTATTCCTGGAATGTTTCCACATTCCATCATCCATTCTTCTACAAATCACATTCACGCCATTCAATAAGAATGCTTCCATAAACATTCAACATGGCCGACCATCTCATCCTGCTTAAGAGCCACCAGGTTGATATCCATCATTCCATCACACCCAACATTAAACATACCGGTACATAAAACAGGACATTCACCACACTAGTATTAAAACTAGCCACAAATAACATAACACATCCACTCACGAGAGATACAACACCGTACTTCACTGCAGCCCTCCAGCCATGGGCCTATACCCAGCCCCCACCGAACCTGTTAGCCCTTCACGGCGCTCGCTCCCGTAAAGGCACAGAAAGTTTAAAATTCACCATTTTAAAACAAATGGTCGGCCGGAACTATACGGGCACCACTCCCAACCGGAAAATTTGTTTCCACTAGGAAACTAGCGAGCGATACCCCGCACAGCCCCCAGCGCAATCCCGGCAAATTTAGGTCCATGCCCGTTTTGACAAATTAAAATTGACAAAACAACACAACAAGTTACCCCAAAACAGTGCATTTCGAGGTCCTAAAAGTCCATGACGCCAATGATCTAGACTTGGGCATCTACTTAGACACCATAACCAGACATGTAATACTCACTGGAATGTATCAGGCTAGACCCTAGACATCTTTAACTTCCAGTATAGGTACGTCTGCTCGTTTGAAGTGTCGGTTGCATGAGAGAAAGAGTTCAGGTTGACTCTCTTCGACGGAAGCTTCCAATAGGAATAGCGCCCTCGAGTGAGGGTGGCTATTGTAGACTGCTATGCTCTGCTACACTCGTAGTCTGCTAATGCAGTCTGCTTCGTGCTTGTAGTCTATATCATAAACTACTATACCACTTTTTTGTCCATTCTGAGTTTCTGACCAAAATGCTATGAATGTTGCAGAGTTTTTGAGGGGCTGTATCTTTTGATAGAAACATCGTGAGTCTTGAAGTTTGAAATGTATTATTCTGATTACATTTTTTATTCAAATATCCAACAAAAATGGTGAAAAACGATCTAAATTGAAAATTGAAAAATCGTTCAGACAAGTCACTAGCCTAGGGTCTAGACTTACAATTTTAAATTTTAAATCCATAAATGGAGCAGACTCGACCTTTCAACAGTCAATTTGTGGAGTGCCACAAGGATCCCTTCTGGGGCCTCTTCTATTTATATTGTATATGAATGACTTTCAAAACTCATCCAATGTTTTGTCGTTTATATTATTCGCTGATGATTCTTCTGTGTTTTTCTCACACAAAAACCCCAATACACTACTTGAAACCGTAAATCTTAAAATGAAACTTGTTGAAGAGTGGATTTGTGCCAACAAACTTTCCTTGAACTTAAATAAAACTCAATGTATGCTCTTCAGCAACTCTATTTCGGGATTGCCTGCCAACGTTTACATCAATGAAACGATTATAAACTTAGTTAATTCGTCAAAATTCCTTGGTTTTATCATTGACAATAAACTTTCTTGGAAAGAACACAACTTATATTTAAGTAAAACTCTATCAAGGAACATTGGAATAATCAATAAATTAAAAATATCTTTTCCTAAGTATATTTTGAAAAGTTTGTACTCGACGCTTATCTTGCCTTATCTTAACTATGGCATACTTGCATGGGGAAATTCGTTTAATTACCAGTTGGACAAATTATTGATACTTCAAAAACGCGTCATACGAATAATCTGCCACACTAATAGGTTAAGCCACACTAATAGTTTATTTTTAGAAAATAAAATATTGAAAGTTCATGACCTGTATAATTTCTTTTTAGGCTGTTTTATGTTTCGATTAAATTCTAACGAACTTCCTCATGCCATCACGTCGACATTCCAAAATAATCAACAACTTCATAATTATCCAACCCGACAGTCTTCCTTTTTTCACTTACACAAACTGAGAACTTTACTAAAACAAAAAACTTTGATTTATACTGGTCCTGTGTACTGGAACTCCTTAGACATTTCGCTCAAACAGCTGCCAAGTTTAATTACTTTTAAATATCACTTGAAACATTAAAATGAGTAAGGTCATCATGATAGAGACCATCGGTATTATCAACACTTTGTCTTGTTGGCTGGCTGCACCACACACCCGTTTTTGTCTCGCCTGCGTAGCAAAAAGCGAGACATAGGCGCCGCTTTTCCGGTGACGGCGACGGCGACGGCGGCGGCGGCGTCAACATCAAAAACTTAACCTAAGGTTTTGATATAATTTTTAAAGTAAAGAAAGCTATTGAAATTATTTGTGAACAAAAGTAAAAATAATAAACTTAAATATGACAATAGAAGAATTGGGAAACAATAAAAATGAGTCTGATATCATAATTTTAATCAAATTGTTTTCTTTACTTGTATTTGTTGACATAGGAATAGGAATCCACTCTTTTATGTCATAATTCCTGACGAAAAACATTGTCATTGCATATTTATGGTAATTTTATGCAAATAAGGTCAAAGAATTGACATTTTTATCCATAAATCATATATTCTTCATATTTAAGCATTCTTAAATCGTGCATTCTCCTAAACATGTCATTTTATCAAATATAAAATGATTACATTTGCCCTTTAAAAACCAATTGCCAAGGTACAATGTAGCTGAGACTCTCAATAGCTGTACTTATTTCTTCAACAAGGTCACCAAGATCCGTGATGACATTGATGCCGAGCTTTCGTAAGGACAGTGTGTACAGCATTGTGAGTTATCATCTGTTCCAGTGATTTCGCTAAAACTTCTATTAGTGAGATCAAGAGGGTTGTCATGAATTCTCCAACATCATCATGTGAGTTAGATCCAATTCCTACTGCTCTTCTAAAAGAATGCATTGACGACTTTGCACCATATATTACAGACTTTGTTAATAAGTCTCTTCGATGTGCAAGCTTTCCAGCCTCAATGCAACAGGCTCTCGTGAAGACTCTCTTGAAAAAACCGAATCTTGACAGGCAAGACTTTGCAAGTTATCGACCTGTGGCAAATCTAAGCTTCCTATCGAAGGTTATCGAACGCATAGTATCCGCTCGTCTTCAGTCCTTCTTGAATGACAATAACCTTCAAGACCACTTCCAATTAATCAGCCTACAGAGAAAAACACAGTGTTGAGACTGCCCTCTTACGAGTGCAAAATGATATCCTCACCGAAATGGATAGTGGAAAAGTAACTGAGCTAATTCTGCTCGATCTGAGTAGTGCATTTGACACGGTTGACCATGTTATGGGCATTGGTGGACAGGCTCACCAGTGGTTAACATCTTATCTCTCAAACAGATCGCAGAGGGTTTGTGTACGCAGTGCTGTCTCTAAGACAGTTCATCTTGGCTTCTCTGTGCCCCAGGGATCGGTACTTGGGCCACAACTCTTCAACATTTACACTCTTCCCCTTCATGATAATTATCATCAAGAGGCATAATCTCAAGCACCATGCTGATGACACGCATATACTTTTCGTGTTCTCCCACACAAGGGGAAGTTGATGCCTGGATTGCTCGTGTTGAAGCCTGTATAAGTGACATTAGGAATTGGATGAAGGAGAATTACTTGAAGCTCAATGTCGACAAATCTCAGTTTGTTATGCTGGGTTCCAAGCAGCAACTCGCTAAGTCGGTAACCCCCAATCTGAATATTGGTTCGTCATCAATTACTCCAGTGAAGAAAGTTCGAAATCTTGGAGTTATTTTTGACTCCAATATGACCATGGAGTCGCAATGTTAAACTTGCAATCCACAGTCTCCGCAATCTTCGTGCTATTCGCAAGTATCTCATCACAAAGGCGGCCGAGCAGCTTGTGCATGCATTTGTTACATCCCGCATCGATTGTTGTAACTCTTTACTCTATGGCATCACTATGTCTCAAGTAAAGAGGCTCCAGCTTGTTCAGAATGCTGCTGCCCGTCTAGTGACATATACACGCAAGTTCGCCCACATCACTCCAGTCCTTAAATCCCTGCATTGGCTTCCTGTTGAACATCGTCTCACCTACAAAATCCTTCTGATCACATACCGTGCCTTGAAGTTCTCCTCGCCACAGTACATCTCTTCTCTACTCAACTTTCGCAAGACGGTTCTGGTCTGCGTTCTGCCAATACATCAACTCTGATCATCCCTAAGACCAGACGATCATGGGGAGATCGAGCATTTGCCTCAGCAGCTCCCCGATTGTGGAACAGTCTCCCTAACACACTTAAGGACTGTAAATCAGTAGATAGTTTCAAGGCCAGCCTGAAAACTTATCTAATGGCCAACTTTGACTAATATCATCTTCTTCTTTTTTTTATAACCATGTGTAATGTAATGTAAACAAAATTATATCTAAGTATATTATGTAGCTCATTGTAAGCGCCTTGAGCACCCTCTGGGTGGATATGTTGCGCGTAAAAAATGTCTGAATTATTAATATTAACACAGGTTAATACCTGACCCAAATACTTAAATAAGTAAGTAACAGTCAATATAAAACTCCTATAACTATAAAGCAATAAATATTCACACATTTGGATAAACCAACACACCAAGCTAGGTTGTAAAACCTTATCACGTGACCTGCCTCTATATCACTACTGAATAAATGATTTAAGCCATCTTGTCCTTAATTCTTGTTCAATGAACTACGATACCTTAAACTTGTAAATTGTAATATTAAAACATGCAATGCAAATATCCTAATAACATCAACTTAAATAGGGCTATCCTGGCTCCCCCCTTTTCAAAGTAAGCACATATTATATAATGAATAATGAAACTAACACTATCATAACAATGGAATAAAGACAAATATCTCTGCTTTTAAATATCAGAATTTCCCAAGACCAGAAACATTGATAAATCCTGGAAACTATAAATCTCCTTATATCTGCATCAAATCCAACTTTCATCAACCACTCCAATCCAAATATTTCGTCCATACTTTCTTACTTCCAAACAAACTCCAATAATCTCCTGATCTAACCCTAAACACTGCTCTT